ACTTTTCTAAACATGGATGGATCTTGAAAACATGCTAAGTGAAATAAGTCAGTCACAGAACAACACATACTGCATGATTCCACTTATGTGAGGTATTTAAAATAGACTTGCAGAAGTAGAAAATAGAATGGTGGTTGCCAGGGGATGGGGGGAGAGAAACAGGAAGTTTGTTTAGTGGGTGTAACGTTACAGTCACACAAGATGAGAAAGTTCTGGAGATCTGCTGTACAACATAGGGCCTGTTGTTAACAGTGCCATGTTGTGCACTTAAAAATTAACAGGGTAGGCATTACATCAAGTATTATTACCAAAAGGTGGCAGGATTTGTCTTCATCATTTAGTTAGCTTCTACCAGAAAGCCAGGATTATGCATAATTTTCCTTTAGTTATCAATTATCAGAATATAAAAGGTGGCTTAATATCACGTTTCCTCATACTCGGTGTGAGTGTGCATGTGTGTATACCTTTTAAAAACATTTTCAACATTTCTGAAATCAGCCTGTGGCTTGTACTCAGTGATGTCTTGTGCAAGTTGTTGGCCGGGTAGCCGTTTTGACACCAGTGCACACATGAGCTGTACTTCTGCCTTAGGCCTTGAATTGATCGTTTCTTTGAGGATGCCTATTCCTTTTGGTGGATAATGATATTTAGAAATCAAAACTGGTCAGCTAGGGGTGCTTAAAGTTACTAGAGTGTCATTGCTTTTATGCTCTTTGAGTAGAACCCAAGTTCATAGTGATTGCTACAGTTTAAAATAGAACTTGAATGTCCCCCAAAAACCCACGTATTGAAGGCTTGTGCTGAGCCAGAAACTTCTGGGAAGTGGTGGAACCTTTAGGAGCCCGGGCTAGTGGAAGAAAGGTCATGGGGACCTGCCCTCGAAGGAGATGTTGGTACCTTGGCCCTCTTCTTCCTCTCTCTGCTTCCTGGCTGCCATGAGGTGACAGACCTCCTCTGCCATAAACCACCCATGATGCACTGTGCCATCTCGGGCTCAGAGCCACAGGGCCAAGCAACCATGGGCCAAAACTTCTGAAATCATAAGCCCGATGAAGCCTTTCTTCTTTGTAAGTAGATTATCTCAGGTATGTGTCACTGTGATATTTATACTTCAAATTTAACAGAACAGGATTTTTACTTAATTTTTAAATTGTTATGCTTAACATCTCCTTTATCCTTAATATGTTAGTTCCTAACTCAGGAACCTTTAAGCACCCTATATAATATTGAATATACTAAAACAGAAACTATATGAACGTGAGATTTTGGGGCGTCAGAGTGTGCGTAGTATATACACACCAGTTTCATACTAGATGTCCCTCATTGTCAGATTTCTTCACAGATCTTCCCCCGACACAGACACATACTGGGGCAAGGGATGCAGTGAAAAGAAGCATGCTGTTGAGACACTCCTTGTTTTGCCTTGTAAACTGCTACAAGTGGCTTTGGTTTCGTTTGGCTCTTGGAGCGTGTCTGCCCTGTGTGTCTCACTGGCCCTCCCAGAGAAACCCGACCAGCCGGTTTCCAGGTTGGCTTGGTTTAGGATCCTCTTTTTGTCTGTTCCAGTTGCTGGTTTGGAGTTGCCAAGATTTAGTTTGCATCTTCTCCTTGAAAATTCCCTTTCTCTGCCCTTAACCCTAGGAGTTTTGAGTTTTTCTAATGTGGGGCAGAGGGTAGTCACCAAAAGCTATATTAGGTTCTAGTTCCAGTGTAAGACCCTGTAGTCAATTCATAACTTTGCATTTTCTCCAGACAATAGAAACTGGAACAGAGCCCAGAAGTTCTGGCATGTTCTTCTATTCTATTTTCTGTAGACCATGTGGTCTCCTAGCACCTATAAAGAGCTTCAGACTACTACCCCAACACCCACGACTTCACACTGTCTTTCCCTAAACCCCAGTCTCTCCCAGCCTCTCCCCTCCTCCACTCTTCACTAGCAGACATCTGTAAAATCTGTTTTATGGTTCAAAAAATGTAAATTTGGAGCAGGTAGCTTTTAACTCTTTAGTTGAAACCATTCATTCTTTCAGTGTTAAAGCCCTAGTACCTTACATCTCATCTAATCCTCTATAATTCTATCATGTGTAAATATTATTTCAACTGCTTTAAGGCTTACAAAGGTTGTGCAACTTGTCCATAGTCACACAGTTTGTCAGAGCCTAGACAATAGCAACCTATTGAGTTCATATTATGTGCCAAAAACTGTGCTAATAAGCCCTTTATGTATTTTACACATGAAGGCATGAGGATTAGAGAGGTTGGAACATAATGCATTACGGCTGCCCAGGTCTCTGTCTGCAAGATCTGTGTTTGTTCTTCTGTGCCCCATTAACAGTTACATAATGGATTGTGACCCATGCCTGATAGTGCTTTGTGTATAAAGTGCTCTGAGCGAGTCCAGTAGGGCATCACAGAAAGGACAGCACTTAAACTAGGCCTTAAGAGATGAGTTTCTCCAAAGGGAGAAATAAAGGAAGGCACTGTTGTCAGTGAGAAAACATTTAAAGACACAGGGATACTGTGCAGGAGCCTTGGTGGCCAAGGCAGAATGCAAGGTCAGCAGGTTTGTAGAGATGCCTGAATGGCAGGGACCTGAGGACAGAGCTCTGGAGTTGTTGGTGGTGGTCTTTCTTTTATCTAGTGTGGAGTTGTCAGTGGTAAGTTGTGTGAGCAGATTTCTGTTTGGAGAGCATAACTGGTGATGTTGGATAGGATGACTTTAGGAGGGAGGGGACCAGTTAGGAGACCATGGTAATAACTCAGGTAAAGACTGTCCAAGGGCAGTGGGGAGGAACGAAGTGCCTTCATGAGCAGATCATCTGCTGGGTTGTACACATTGCTAACCATTAAAAAAAAAAAAAAAAAAAAAAAAAACCTCAGGAATACAAGTGAAGTCAGTTTAAACTTGCTCTTACTCTGTTCTTAGTGTTGGTAATAATGTATACACCTTTATCTTATGTCTGTGTACGAACGTGTATGTGATTGTATATGCATATTACACACGCTATACTGAGAGTCTGAATCTCCTTCTACTTAAGATACCTTAGAAATCATTTTCTCAGTATATTTGGAGCCTTCTAATTTTAGCTACTTAATATTTTATTATATGGGTATGCCATAATATTTTTAACCAGTTCTTAGTAATGAACATTTAGTTCTTTCTGATATTTTCCTGTTACAAATGATGATACAGTAAATATTCTCATACTCTTATTTAATACATATGCAAGTATAACCAAACTCTAGAAATAAATGTTTTTAAATAAATTATTTGAAGTTGCTGAGTCAGATTTTGCATTTCTAGTTTTAACATATTGCTAAATTCCACGCTACTTGTTTCCTGTAACCTTGCCAACACAGTGAGTTATCTGAAAGGAGAAAATTATCTTATTGTAGTTTCATGTGTGTTTGAACCATTTGCTTTCTCCAAGATTCTTTTTTTTTTTTAATCCTTTTTTCCCCCCAAGTTTTTCTTATACTATTGACCTTATTTAGCTGTCGTAGCTCTTGATGTATTAAGGAAACCCAGTGCAGTGATGTTCACCTGTAATCGCAGGGATTCAGGAGGCTGAGGCAGGAGGGATTGCAAGTTCAAGACCAGCCTGGGTAACTTTGTGAGATCCTTTCCCAAAATGAAAAGGACTGGGGATACAGCTCAGTGGTAGAACACCCCTGGGTTCAATCCCCAGAACCACATACAAAGAAAAAAAGCGGGGGGTGAGGATAATATTAAGGAAATTATCCTTTGAGGGTTTGGGGGAGTGGGGAAGGGAGAAGAGCTCTCTGGGGCCCTTCTTGTAAGGGCACTAATCCTAATCATAAGGACTGCTTTCATTACCTCTCAAAAGCCCCACTCTAATACCATCATATTGGATCAGGCTTCCGCATACGACTTTGGGAGGGCACAGACATTCCACCCATAATGGGTTGTTTCCAGTTTTGACTGTTGCAAATTCTTTTATATGTGTTTTGATATATGTGACCATAATTTTTTAAAAATATTTATTTACTTGTATGTGGTGCATATTTATTTGTATGAGCGTGCCTCATGCACGCTAGGCAAGCGCTCTACCCCTGAGCCACAATCCCAGCCCCTGACCATGATTTTTTTAATAGACACAATCACAAATTAGAACTCACTGCCTGGTTTGTTTTATTTTTTTAAAAAAGAAAAACAACTATTTTGAAATAATATTACATTTATAGGAGAGTTGCAAAATGGTACAGAAAGTTTCTGTATACTCTTTACATAGCTTCCCTTACATACTTATGGTACATTTATATATTTATTTTTTTATACTGGGGATTAACCCAGGGATGTTTAACCACTGAGGCACATCCCCAGCCCTTTTTATGTTTTGAAGACAGGGTCTTGCTAAGTTGCTTAAGGCCTCACTAAGTTGTTGAGGCTGGTTTTGAATCCTTCCCCAGCTGCTGGGATTATTATAGGCATGAGCCACTGCACCCAGCTAGAACTTCATTCATTTTTAAGGCTGACTAATATTTCATTAGATGATACATACATTTAATTTATCTGTTCATTTATTGATGGGCACGTGTGGTGTTATCATTTTTTGGTTGTGAATGATGGCTATGAATGCTGGCATTTGTGTCTCTTTTGTAGTCCCTTTGGAGTAGCTTGCTGACCCCTGGTCTAGAGTGTGTACATAGAAGGGGAATCACTGGGTCACACAGTGTGCAACACTCCAGCTTTACTGGGTGTTAGTGAGCTTAATTCCAAAGAGGTTAGTCCACAGTCTTGATGACACTTAGTTTTACCAGATTTCTAAATGTTTGCCCATTTGGCGGGTGTGTAATGATGATTTATTATGATTTTCTGGTTTCTGAAGGGATTGAATACATTTTCACATGCTTATAAGTCATTTGCGTTTCCTGTTTTGTAACATGCCTATTAATTTTCCTGTTGGTGGCTTGCCTTTCTTAATTGGTGTTGACTAATTGTTATCTTCAAATAATGCTTATTCTTGGTGTTTCTGCAGAACAAATAGTGGAGAAAGATGAAGGTCCTTATTACACTCACCTGGGATCTGGCCCCACGGTAGCCTCCATCCGGGAACTCATGGAGGAGCGGTGAGTGATGCACAGATGTCCTAGAAGAAATGGACGTGTTGACAGAATATGCCTCCCACTAGTCAATGTGCAGAAAGGAAGCCCTCACACCCATGTTGTGGCAGGTCAAATGTGGGGTGCTCACTTCCAGGAAGTCCTGGGTTTCTTTGAATCTGTCGGCCCTCCATATGCCCCCTCATTCCTGAAATATTTTTACTGAAGGAACATGGTTATGTGGGTGTATGTCCTGCAGAGTTTGTTTCCCACAGTCTGAGCTGTTCTTATCACTTTCCTGTGATGTCATTTAACATGCTCTTCCTCTGTAAGTCCTATGGTATGGTAATCAGAGCTAAAAGGCTGATTGGAGTCAGGTTGATTTTTTTTTTCCCTGTCTTTATTCGAAACTACTTTATAGGTAATATCAATTTATTTCTGAATGAAAACATTCTGGACTCATGTCATACAATTATTTAGAAGTCCTGATTCCTTTTTTGGAGGAAAAGTCATTGAGGAAACAGACTATCAGCGTACCAAGGGTGCTCATTGCTAATAGTAGGTTGTTAATTGTTTTTATTTTTACTTAAAAAAAATTTTTTTAAAAACTGTGGATTGAACCTAGGGGTGCTTTACCACTGAACTGCATCCCCAGCCTTTTTTATTTTTTATTTGAGATGGGATTTTGATAAGATGCTGAGGCTGGTCTCAAGCTATGATCCTCCTGCTTCAGCCTCCCAAAAGTCTGGGATTATGGGCGTACACCACTTCTTTGTTCATTGTTTTTAGGTCATTTCAGTAGAAAAGCCTAAGTTGTATCTGTGAGTTTTTAATTTTTGTTATTTGCTAGGGGTTAAACATCTTGAGTTTATATTGACACTCCCAATTCAAATTCAAGACTATAGAATATTTAATAGTTTTTTTTTATTAACATGCAACTCATGTAGATAGAGTATTTAAATCTATGTACATTTCATAGCAGTTAGTAAATACCAAGTTCCAGTCTGTGGAGAGGTAATACATCGTGGTGGCTGAGAGCGTAGATGCTGGAGCTATTCTGGGTCCAGTCCTGGCCTTGCCACTTACTGCTGAGTCCTTGGTAAGTTGTTCTCCTGTATGACTCAGTTTTCTCAATGACAAAATAGGGATGATGACAGAAGCACATACAGAGTGGGGGTATTGTGAGGATAAACTGAGCTGACGTATGAAAAACAGTGTCTGCTGCAAGCACCACACGGTGGGCAGTCTTTGTCCGCCTCGTGTACTTGTGCACTGATTGCAGTTTCAATAACAAGCATGAGCAGTGTAAGTGAAAACAGAGGTGACGTGAACCTGAGCATATGTTTGCTCACACATATACAGCAGTTTTTGTGGAAGACTTGAGCAGCCTAGAGTTTCCACAGGTTTGGGAACCAGATTTTATCTGAGCAGGGGAGCCAAATGAGTCCTGTTGGCATAGTAGGGAACATGATTTTGAGCTGAATTTCTGTAAGGTGAGATGGATGGAAGTCTGCGATCTGCTGTGGTTACTGTTAATTTCTTACATCATCTGGAAACATTTATATTCAAAGTAGATCAAAGACCCAATTGGTAAATTCCAGCCCGATGTGAAGGGCACTTCTGAGCCCATGAGAGCACAACAGATTTAAAACCGTGTGTATTGTGCATGCTTGCTTCCTGTGCCCACAGGCATGCATGCTACAGTTTCTATATTGGAATAAACATCATTTGACCAGTGGGTTTTTTTTTTTAATATTTATTTTTTAGTTGTAGCTGGACACAGTACCTTTATTTATTTATTTTTATGTGGTGCTGAGGATCGACCCCAGGGCCCTTGCCTCGCATATGCTAGCGAGCTCTCCACCACTGATCCACGACTCCAGCCCTTGGCCAGTGGTTTTTTTTGGTAAGGAATCTCAACATTATCCTTTGCCGAAGGGTAGAGAAATGTACAAGTTTGATCCAATATGGGTATTTGTTTTTTGCTTTGGCTTTTTGGGGGGCCTAGGGGGTACCACTTTTATGAGATTTCCAGGTAGTTCCCTAAATAACTTCTAGTTATGGAAGAGTACATTTCAAAAATGGATTAAGAGAGAGAGAGATAAAAGTTGAGATTTGTATATTTATTTTCCCCTCTTTGTTTTAAAAGTAACAGCCAACTGTAGATTGTTCAGAATCTGATCCAAGGGAGGAATTCCTCTTAAGACCAGGAATACTTGTCTTTTTCCTCAGCGATTGGTTTATTTTTATCTTAAGGACCTTGTCAATCATGTAACGGATTGCATTTCCATCTTTATGTTGGCTGCTAGTAAGTTTAGAGCCAGATTTTTGTACCCCCACCACTAGGAGAAATGTGATGTCCCTCCTTTGGCCATGGGACCTATTCAGGTTGCTCCTGAGTCCTTTTGATATAACCCTAAAGAGTGTCCAAATGTTTTGATTCTTCTTCATATGACAAAATGTTCCAGACTCATCTCAAAAGTACATGTAAAACCCCGCTGATTGTATTTTCTGTACCAAGTAGCTGTTCTTTTCATCACCTATTATTTTTATCTTAGAGGAATGTTATTAAGATCCTTTCTGGAACAAGGGAGGGGAATGAATGAATGATTCCCTGACTGGGGGCCAAGTTTATGAATCGTCTTTGCCATCTCTCTAGAGTTCTTTTCCCTCCACCCTTTCTCTGCAGAACCTTTGAAATTGTCAGGCATTGGCCAAAGTCAAGGAGGGGAAATAAACTGAAATCATCAAAGAGATGATGCTGTTAGTTTCTCTGGTACAGATTTGGAGAAAGGAGAGGGCGGTTGAAAGCAACTCCTTAAAATATCTCAATTTATTTATGGGCTTTATACCTCCTGGGTATCCAGGTCCTCATTGTCATAGATAATTGGAGTCAGTTGTCAAACTCAGATCTGAGAATGGTACGTTGCCCAGAGCCTTGTGTGTTCTATCTGGGAAAGGGATTCCCTGCAGCCTAGTTCATTAAATGCTTGTTCTAGAAATGAAGAACCAAAACTACACTAGAGAGTCCTCTGAGCTTTGGAGGAATTGATCTCATTAGTGTGGTAGAGCTGACCCTGAAGAAATACAGCATTAGAGCAGTGGTTCTTCAACTTGTGCAGGCATCAGAAGCTCCTAAGGGCTTTTGAAAGCACATTTCACTGGGCCCCACTGAGTTTATGACCTAGCAGGTCTGGGATGTGATGTAAAAGCCTACTTCCCATTCCTACCAAGTTCCCAGGTGATGCCAATGCGGCTGGTCCTGGGACCACCCTTGGAGAACCACTGGCTAAGATTATTAGTTTCTCTTTAGAATAAGGTTCAGCCTGTCCTTGTTGGCTTAGTTTATGGTCTGGGAATTTATGTAGTAGAAGGGATGTTCCATGCTAGGACAGAAAGTGAGATGTTTAAGAAGAAAGAGTGAAGTAAGAGTTGATTGGTTGTATTTAAACACAAAGAGACACTCAATTCTGTTTTTATTTTATGTATTTATTTTAAAGAAGTGTAACTGTTCAGGCAGTGCTTGGTCTTTTTATTTGATCTCTAATATGAAGCTTGCTGCAGGATGCGTTTCTCACAGGGGTGGTGGGGAGGACCTGGGTGGAAAGCCAGCATCCGTGTCCTTGGCTCACCCTCCTGTGAGGAACATGATAGTCCTACATTTTAGAGAGGTTAGTGTGGTCACCTCGAGTTGTTCTCCCAACAGAGATCCCCAGGACACACAGAGGCCCAGACCCTAAACTTGTGGGTGGCTTCCTGATAAATGCTAGTTCAACTGAAAGTTGTTCAGGAGCCAAACAAAAGCAGCACTGTGTGATTTTTAACTCATGATCCAGACCACACTATAGAATTCTCAGTGTCCTGACTAACCGAGCCTTCAAATTCTAATGCTGTAATGACCAGAAGCACTTCTCACCCCTTCACTGAGAACTCAGTGGAAGAGACAACATGAAACTCAGAAACCTTCAGTTAGCATTAAAAAAACAACAACAACACCTTTTTGAATTATGAAAATGAAAGAAGACGCTTAAAAAGTCTAAGTACAGAGTGAATAAAACCCTCCAGCAGTTATTCTTCCCAGAATAAGCTTTAAAGGTTTGATGTTTACCTTTCCATCTTTCTAAACATTTACAAAAATACACATACTTATACAGAGAAATTTTGAGCCAAATGGGATCATTTCTACCCACTATTATACCACTGGGCCCCAACCCCAGGCACTGCATTTATGTGGTTATTTTGAGGTAGTGATTCCTAGAAATGGAGGAGAGGAGATTAAAAAAGTGGTATTTTAATCACTATGATAACATTATGCTTTATTAAATAGTATGTTAAAATGTTTGCTCAAACTGAATTCATTACAGAAATACAAGAAAAGTGTGATTTAGATAGTTATGAAGTAGGTTGGGGTTGTAGCTCTGTGGTAGAGCTTACCTAGCATGTGTGAGGCAATGAGTTCGATCCTCAGCACCACATTAAAAAAAAGAAAGAAAGAAAAAGAAGAGCATACTAGTCAGCTTCAGTAGCACACACCTGTAATCCCAGTGGCTCAGGAGGCTGAGGCAGGAGGATTGTGAGTTCAAAGCCATCCTTAGCAATTTAGCGAGACCCTGTCTCTAAATAAAATATAAAAAGGGTTGGGGATGGAGCTCAGTGGTTAAGTGTCCCTGGGCTCAATCCCTGGTACCAAAAACAAAACATGTTAATTGGTCAAAGAAAAAAAAACTAGCCATATGTCTCCTTAGATGTTAAAACTGTGTTGGATAAGAGTTAAATGATTCTTAGAGTTAAAAATTCTTAATAGATCTTTAGTAGGACTCTTCAAAGCAAGGAGTCTTCCCCAGCACCAGCTGACTTCATGTTCAGTAATAAATTACAAGAAACATTTTTGTTGAAGTGGAGAAATACACAAAGGTGTCGGGGCGCATCTGTCATCCCAGCAACTTGGGAGGCTGAGGCTGGAGGACCACAAATTTGAGATCAGAAGCAACTTAGTGAGACAGTGTCTCAAAATAAAAAGGAACTGGGAAAGTAGCTCAGTGGCAAAGTGTCCCTGGATTCACTCTCCAGTACCAAAAAAAAAAAAACAAAAACAAAAAACAAAGATGGCTGTTGGCATGTCAGAAACATGAGGTCAGAGAGACAGAGATTGGAATAGAGGCATCGAGAGTAGAAAGGAAGAGGTGGCAAGTGACCATTATCTGCAGATGTTATATTTTTCCTGAAATTAAAATGAGATGGTTCAGTAAGATGAACCACCACCGCTCCCCTGTGCGCTGTGTTTATCAAGCCTAGGAGGTAGGAACAATTTTCATCTCCATCTTACAGATAAGAAAACTGAGATTTAGAGAAGTCAGTCAGTGGTCATTATAGATGTAGAAAGTGGTAGGACAGGCATTCAAACCCAGTCTGTCTGACTTCCCAGGCTGTAGGTGAACCACTGTTTCTCCCATATAGTTGTGTGGACTTGGATGAGTCACTTCAGCTCTGAGGCCAACTATGATCTTGTCACCTCTGAACATGATATAGTTGATTAGATGGTCTCAGAGACCTGCAGCTCTGCAGAACTGTGTGTGTGGACCAGGGCAGTGGGTGTGTGCGAGAACCAGATGTATTTACTGTCCAGGGGAACCTGAAAGCCAGTGTGTGTGTTTGGAAGGGTCACTTCCCCAGAGGTCAGTTGGGGTGGCTAAAAGAGAAAAGTAAGAGTTTCCCCATTTATTTTCTTTTGTGCATTGGATTTATAAATCACTAATTCTGAGGTGGCTAAGCTAACAGGACAGAGTACAAGTGTCTGTGTTTAGCCTTTGGTTTCAGGACCCTTCTTGGAGGCTCACAGGTAATAATCAGGGATATTCTACTTGACTATCCCTCTGCCCTCGGACAGAGATGGGCCACATGGACAAGAGCAAAGAAGAAGCAGGTGAACCAAAGCCTGGGAACCTGGAGGTAGCCACTGTGTCTCCAGAGCCTCGAAGCATTGAATAACGTTCAAACCTCTCTCCCCTTTCATGCCCCAACAGTAACCAGAAAGCCAAACTGAAGCTCCTGGGGGCCTGCCTTCTTACCATGAGGTGTTTGGCATTCCACTGAGCTAATGGTGGCCTCTGTCTCCTTCTCTAGGTATGGAGAGAAGGGGAAAGCCATCCGGATCGAGAAGGTCATCTACACAGGAAAGGAGGGGAAGAGCTCTCGGGGCTGCCCCATTGCAAAGTGGGTGAGTGTTGAGTCCCTGTAGCCAAACTGTTCCTTGCTCTCCTCACCCCTTCAACTATTAAGAGCAGCTTCCCCACTGGGCAGGGAATGTAGGAAACAGGTATGTTGACCATTGGGGGAACTCTGGAGCCAGTGGTTAGGGTCATTTTCCTCCAGCATCAGCTGTTTGTCTTCATGTTGTCTAAATGCCAGCTCCTGGCATCTGGGCTGTCTGAGAACTGTTGAACATTATCTTGGTTCATATGGTCTTTGGTTCAGGGCTACAGGGTAGGAAAAAGTGAGCTGGAATAGCTGTCATTACCTAATGCCGGGCCCCACTGGGGACTCTTCGATTCCTCTGCCCTCTCTGTGTACTCTGGAGTGGCCAGTACTCCTGTCTCTCACTGGAAACTGAAGACTGATCTACTGTAATACAACCTGAGGGACTAGGCTGAACCTCTGAGCAGGGTCATGACTAGCCTTGCAACTGCCCGACTTCTGAGTTGCAGTTTCCTCCCAGGAAGCCTGGGTGTCTCAGCAGGGAGAATGTCACCAACTGAGACCCCGGTTAACCAAAGCAAAATTCTCCTGGTCTTGTCATGGTTGTCCACAGGGAGATATGTCAATAGCAGAGCATCTGTTTCTGCAGAACAAGTTCCCAGGAGCTGCAGCAAGGCCCTTCTAGTCTTGTGAGCTCAGCTGGGGGCTTAGTAAGGGTGCATGTGAAAGATGCTCAGTTTTGGGTGGAAGCTATTTATACTTAGAGACAAGCAAAATAAAGCCATGGAGGCATGAATAATAGAGGTTTAATATGAGAGGCAGATATGGTGCTATAGGAGTTCAGGGATAAGGACCTAGAGTGGCAGAAGGAGTGTTCAGGCTAGGTTTTCCCAAAAGTGGACACGCATGGGGCCATGGGTATTGGCCCATGTTTGGACTGGGGAGCAGGTTAGAAGCATTCCCAAGCAAGAGGGTCAGGTAGGCAAAGGCAGAAAGGCTGGGTGGACAACACATGACTGAGAGAGGGAGGTTGGTAGAATGACCTTGGTCAGCTTTTGTTCATCTGCACACATGCCTGTTGTAACTGTCATGTGCCCCAGGCCCCTGCATCTTTGCATTTAATGAAAATCAAAGGCATCCGAACTTCCAACTACCACATACCTATTTTTAGTCACTATTGTAGAAGTGTATGCAACAAAATAATCTGGAACTACTTAGCACATTCACAGGTATGAGAAACATGTTGTCCCCACCTTCGTGAGAGATGGTTGTTGCAGTGGGAGGTCTGATGTGGCTGATCCAAGGTGAAGGTTCTCTTTCAATAAAACCCATCCATGAAATTACATCAGCCATAGAGTGACAGTTGCACGTTTCTCTTGCTAATTCAACTGATTGTTGAGGAATTCCAACATTTTGGGGAGGAAAGCCTCTCAGGGCACAGGTAGAGGGAGGGATTTTTCCAGCTTCAAAAAAGTTGTCATGTTAAAGATGACAGCTGGCTATGTGGATATTCCTTGTCTGTGTATGTGGGGGGGGATGCCAGGGATTAAACTCAGGGGCACTTGGCGATTGAGCCATATCCCCAGCCCTATTTTGTATTTTATTTAGAGACAAGATCTCACTTGAGTTGCTTAGGGCCTCGCTTTTGCTGAGGCTGTCTTTGAACTCTCGATCCTCCTGCTTCAGCCTGTTGAGCCACTGGGATTACAGGCCTGCTATGTGGATATTCTTGAAGGAGAGAATGTGCACTTCTAGAACCTGGAATGGGTGGTAGAGCATTAATTCTTGACCAAGCTTGTATGGCTCTGCCAAGGATTAGGAAGAGCCCGTTCGTTTGCTGCAAGAGGGAGGCAGAAAGGTACAAAAAAAACCCTCCGTCCTCATTACTTTGGTCTTCATGGAGATCTCCAAGCCCTGGTGGACAGCGTAGGGAATACATAGTGACTATTCCCAGAGTTAAGGAAATTCCCATCTGTGGAGTGAAGATAAAAGAAATTATTTCTTATGAGTAGAGCATGTGGGTGTTAAGGCACATTGCAAGTGTGCAGAAAATGTGTTGAATGATCTGAGAACACAATGGGTCAATCCAGGGAGTCCTTGAGTAACCTCTGATCTTGTTCTTTTTGTTTCATTCTTTTTTTTTTTTTTTTTTTTTTTTGCAATACTGGGAACTGAACCCAGGGAACAACTCTACCACTGAGCTACATCCCAGTCCTTTTTATTGATTTTTTTCTTTTGGTTCCAGGGATTGAATCCAAGGGTTCTTAACCACTGAGCCACACCCCCAGCCCTTTTTATATTCTTTTATTTTAAAACAGAGTGTTCTAGGTTGTTTATGGCTTTGAACCTGCGATCCTCTTGCCTCAGCCTCCGAAGTTGCTGGGATTTCAGGCATGCACCACCACACCCGGCTTATTGTTTATTTTGGGACAGAATCTCACTAAATTGCATAGGCTGGCCTTGAACTTGTGATCCTTCTGCCTCAGCCCCTAAATTGCTGAGATTATAGGCATGTGCCACAGTGGCCAACTGTAATGTCTGATTTTAAGATATCCTATACCAAATATGGAAGATGCCAAACCTGAGAAGGAGGGAGTGCCCAGGGAGCATTCAAAGGCTTAGAATAAACACAAGCACACAGTGAGGACAGCAGACAGTTTTGATAGAAGAACCACAGAGATGCTGGTTGGGCAGGATAAAGCTAGTGGAGATCAGAAGGCAGGTATCTGAAGTCCCATCAGGCATAGTGGAGCAGACTTGACTCGGGAAACCCCAGGAAATGAAATGAAGACCCTCCTCTAGGAGCGGACACTTTGCTTTCTGCTGGGCGTTACACTGCTCTTGGTTCAGTTCTTAGGGATTGCCTGCCTAGAAACGAAGTGAGATATTCATGATGCTTTCACAGAATGTGAACCACCACTTTATAGTGCTCAGTGTTTGTGTGTTCATGTCTTCCATTCACCTTTGACTTTTACACTTTTGTGCATTTCATCCTGCTGGGTTTCTTTATGGGAGTGTGGGCAGGGAGCAACTCCTCTTTTTTGCTTTCCTAGTTTTTTGACCATATCCATAGACCTGTGAGGATGTGGCCATTGAAAGCTGTCTACTTGTGCTAAGACATTTGTGTGTTTGCCATTGAGGAATCCAGAATGACACAGCTTCCATCACAGCTTTGGCTGCTTGGGTCTTGCTGTGTGCTCTGAGTACATGACCCATGAGTGTGATTAGCCTGTGCGGTGCCCAGGTAGTGAGCAGAGGTTTACCATAGTGCCTCACAAATCTTTGTAACAGGGACCACTGTCATATTAGATTCTACAGATGCATGTTGATGCCCATGATATTCCCCAGCTCATTCTGCAGAAAGCCAGGTAACTACACAGGAAGTTCAAACACAGTATGTGACTTAGTATCTTATTCATGTGTTACTGGTTTCCAAAATACAATTTAAAAAATAAACATAATTGATGCTTCAGTAGGGAGGAACCATTATTGCCTTGCCTCAAAGCAAGAACTGGACAGAGATGTATTTTGTTCAGCATGCAAAGTATCCCCTAAAAGTTTGAAGGAAATTGTGGTACATGCTACAACATGGATGAACCTTGAGGACATTGCACTTAGTGAAACAAGTCAGTCACAAAAGGACAGATTTTGCTTGGCTTCACTTTTATGAGGTACCTAGAGGTGTCAAATTCATGAGTGGAGCAAATGGAATAGTGCTTGGCAGGGTCTATCAGGTAGGGAAAACAGAGTTATTGTTGGAATAGTTTCAGTTTTGCAAGGTGAAAAGGTTCTGGAGATGGTGATGGTTTGGATATACCCAATTCCACTAAAGTGTACACTTAACGTGGTAAATTTTTTGTATATATTACCATGACAAAAAAGTTGAATGTGGTATCCACGTTTTAAAAAATCACGTAAAATTGTAAATTTTCATCTTTTTTCCTGCAATAAAGTATCAGAAGAATTGGCTATGCTCGGCCAGGATCCCCCAACTGCAGGCAATTGATGGAGCCGAAACCTTGCTTCCCGCTTTTGATCGGCAGATGCCTTCACACTGCCATGGTCCCATCATTCCCTGGCCTTGGATCAGGCCCACTTTCCTTGTTAGTGTTATCTGCTTGGCTACCCCTTTCTTCATCTCCTGCCTGGGCATACTGGTGACCATGGCCATCTGCAGCCCAGACATCGACCTCCAGACCTGCAGGCCTGGTGGAAATAACCCCTGAGATCTTCCCAAGTAGCTTGACCTCTGAGAACTCCCAGTTGACATGCCATTCAGCACCACCACTGCTGCCTCCTAAGCCACAAAACTTGGAAGTCACTTAAAGTATTTCCCTGTCCGTCAGCCCCCATAGTCCCAAACTTTTCTCCCCACTAGATCCACTCCTTTGCTGGTTTCCTTCCCAGTTGCTATAGTTCAGGACTGTGTGCATTTTTGCTTTGTTACATTGGTGCCACTTAGCTCCCCTCTGTCTGCCTTCATTCCACCCCTGTTTACAGGCCCTCAACCTTGTATCTCTTCACAGAACTGCTTGGGACCCTTTGGGGAAATTCAGCCATCTTGTTCCCCAGCTCCCAGGATGCTTTGCCCTGATGCATCTTTTTGTGTGTGGAGGGAGGAGATGAAAAAACCTGGATGAGGAACAGCTGAATCCTGAGTTGCAGAGTAGTGTGATGCCCAGGGCCCTTGCTTTTAAATTTTTTAACAGCTTGTTTTGGGTATTTTAGGTATTCTCCCCAATTCCCTCCCTACTCCCCCTTCCCTGGCCCCTGATAACCTGTAATCTGTTTTCTGTCTCTGTGAATCTGACTATTCTAGGCACCTTATTTTAGCAGAACCCTGCCATGTTCATCCTCTGGTGTCTGGCTTATTTCTCTTAGCTGAGTGTTTTCAGGGTTCATCCAAGTTTGTAGCAGGTGTCAGAATTTCATTCCTTTTTATAGCTGAATAATATTCTATTGTACATATATGCCATACTTTGTTTATCCATTCATCTACTGATAGAAACTTGAGTTGTTTCCTCCTTTGACTGTTGTCAGTGTGCTGCGTAGAACATTTGTGTGCAAGTATCTGCCTGAGTTGCTGCCCCTGATTCCCCAGCATGTACTCCAAGGCATAGAATTGCTGGATCATATACTAATTTTGTTTTTAGCTTTTTGAGGGACAATGATCTGTTTTCCACTGTGCTAATCCTCTTGCTTTTAACTAAAAACACAGGTATGCTGTATTTTCACTAGAAATGTTTTAGGACAATGTAAAAATTTCTGTGTCTTAGAATTTTATCTATGTCTTTTTACTTCAAGGCCTATGTAAGTCATCAGTATCTTAAACTACAAAGTCTAAGATACTGTAGTGATCGTTCTTCATTCCACTCTTAAAAGACTTTTTGTGTGGTTTATGCCCTAATTTTAATAATCTCTTAGCCTGTGGGGTTGCTACTGCCACATTGTGACATTCATGGGTCTATACCTTATAGACGCTATGTGACAAGGAGGGATTTGTGGCACTGTGTGGAGGGGTTTTACTGTTAAACTCCCACAGTTTACAATGTGGCCTCACGTCCCCACAGGTGATCCGCAGGCACACGCTGGAAGAGAAGCTGCTCTGCCTGGTGCGGCACCGGGCAGGCCACCACTGCCAGAATGCCGTGATTGTCATCCTCATCTTGGCCTGGGAGGGCATTCCCCGCAGCCTCGGAGACACCCTGTACCAGGAGCTCACTGACACTCTGCGGAAATATGGGAACCCCACCAGCCGAAGATGTGGCCTCAACGATGAGTACGTGGCAGTAGGGCAGGCTCAGGGTGCCAAGGTCCCCTGTAGGGCTCAGGGCATCAGGTGCAGGGATTCTGGACAACCCTGGGCAAGCTTATACCCTCCTTGGGTGCTGTTGTCCTGCAGAGTTGGGACCAGGGTTGAGAAATGCTTCCCCACAGATCCTGACCTGGGTGCTAGCCCGGCTCCGGGGATGCTGTTGACTTGACTCAGTTTCACTGTTAAACTCCAGATCCGCGCTGAGGCGCTAAGGATGTGAACAGTGTGAAAAAAGTATGTGCCCCACAAACATAAATATTTTACAAAACCTGCCTTTGTTTTGGATTTCCTCATTTTTGTTTTTGTTTTCTATTAAGTATATTTATTTTCAGTGAGATTCATCCTTTCAGGTATATAATTGGGAGACTTTTGATAAATATTTACAGTCATGCAGCTGCCACCACCACAATCAAGATAGAGATCAGTTCCACTACTTCCCCAAACTCCCTGTGCTGATAAAATGCCCCTTTATCAGTATCCCTTTTCACATCCCTTGGCAACCACCAATCTTGTTTCCTGACCCTGCAGGTTTGCCTTTGTGGGAATGTCACCTTCCAGGATCATATGGAGTGCAGCCTGCTGAGCCTGGCTATGCACTGAGCGTGGTGTTTTTGAGGGTTGTCCAGTTGACATGTGTCAGTGGTTTGTTCCTTTTTATTCCACTGAGGGGTCTTTCACTGTATGGATGTATCACAGTTTATCCATTCCACAGTTGAGGGGCATTTGGGTTGTTTCCACATTTTATTAAGTGTTGAATTTTTATATCAACATTCTTTAGTTTCAAAGCCTTTCAGCTGGGTTATAGGAAACGGGCATGTTCCAACCCTGGGGTCCACATCATTCCCTGCTTGGGGGTCTGCATTGGAGCTGGTCAGGATGTTAGAGTTAAAGCCAAGTGTAAACCATACTGGGCCTTTATTAATTCATCCTCCTACCTTAACCCACATGCCTCTCCTAACAACAGACTCCAGGTTAGCTTTTCATGCTCAGGTGGGGGCAGAGCGGGCTGCTGAGAGCTGGTCATCTGCTTAAAGAAATTTGAGAAAGGACTTGAGGTGGGGGCAGGGAAGGATGAGTCCAAGTCACTGGGAGGCTAGTAGATGCCAGGCCTCAGCAGGGACTTCCCTCATGGGAGGAAAAAGATTCCAGAGCAAATTGGTATTGCATCTGTGTGCCTATTTTGTGATATATGTTGCAGCCGGACCTGCGCTTGCCAAGGCAAAGACCCCAACACCTGTGGTGCCTCCTTCTCCTTTGGCTGTTCCTGGAGCATGTACTTCAATGGCTGCAAATACGCCCGAAGCAAGACACCTCGCAAGTTCCGCCTGGCAGGGGACAATCCCAAGGAGGTGAGCACAGCTGTGCAGGGAGCACAGGGACCCTTCCCCTTTCTCACCTGGGGGGGGGGGCATGAGTAGGACTCACATACCACAACAAAGCAGGCTTAAGCCTTCTGAGCCATCACTTCACCTCTGCCTCCTTCCCCCTTGCCTGAGCTCCTGAGCAGGCAGGTACTGAGTCACTCTGCTGGAATCCAGGCACAGCGTCTTGATCCCAGTCTTAACCTTCCAGCTCCTCATGCTGAAGTACGGACATCCATTTGGGCACCTCTTCTCTGCACCACAGCTCATATGAACTTGTGTTTTCCAACTTCCAACATAAGGAAGCAACTTTAAAGCATTAAAAGCAAAAGGAAGCATTTTCAAATTCAGAACTCCCCCCCCTCAAAAAAAAAAAAAAAAAAAACCTGTCTCTTAGACTATTTTGTTTGTTAGCTTACAATAGTTTAACTTGGTACTAGACTTTTAAGAGAGGATCCATCCTTTCCCTGAAGCAGCAAATGCAGTTGCTTTGGTGAATGGAGGTGCCTCAGAGCCACCAAGACCTAAGAATTCCCAGGAATAGAAAGACTGGTTTAGTCTCTTAAAATACTTCCCCCATGCTGTCAGTCATCATTTCCTGGTACTTTTCCTTTTTTGGTACTGGGGATTGAACCCAAGAGCACTCAACCACTGAGCCACATCCCCAGCCTTTTTTTTGTATTTTTTATTTAGAGACAGGGTTTCACTGCGTTGTTTAGGGCCTTGCTAAGTTGCTGAGGCTGGGTTTGAACTCTCAATCCTCCTGCCTCAGCCTTCCCAATCTCTGGGATTACAGGTGTGCGCCACCATGCCTGGCCAGATACTGCGCTGAGCTCCTCACAGGTATCTCAGTTAATTTCAGATACCACCCCCCTCGATAATGTGGGCACTGTTACCTCACTTTACAGAGAGGCAAAGGCCTTGCTGAAGGTCTTCTGGCTTATGGTGAAGGCAAAATTCAGTCCTCGGCCTGTTTCCCCAGATCTCATGGGCCTTTTCTCTATGCTTCACTGGCTTCAGGCCCACTATATAAGTGGCAATGTCTGGTAGCAGCCAGGGAGGTGACCAGGCCATCCTACTGGATGGAGAGATGAGCCATTGTCTTAATTTCCATTTCTAATCCTGTGTGTATACTTCTTTCTCTCTTCCCTCTTCCTCCTGCTTCTTCATAGGTTCTTTGTGCCTGTGCTAAAGGCCTTGTAAAAGCCCCTGATAGTCTGACTTTCTTCTCTGTGAGGACCAGAGAGAAATCTCTGAATGTTACTAGGTGACCACTACTTTGTCTAGAGTGGTACCATCCAGTGGAACTTTCTCTGATGATGAGCGGGCAGGAGTTGCTGGGCATTTGAAATGTGGCTAGTGCCCCTGAGGGACTGAATTTGTACTTAGGTGGTGTGGGTTTAGCAGTCAGAACTTGGGAGTTCATCTGAACACCTGGCTCATAACAGACTCTGGGCTAGGCTGGCCATGGATTTTCTAGCACAGAATCCTGTCTGCTCTGCCTTCCTGTCTCTCACATGATTAAGAAGTTCTCTACCTGTTGCTCACAATTTTTCTATGCCTGTGTTATCACATCTTTGACTCGGGTTGTTCAGCACTGAAAACGAGAACGTGTATTGTGTGTCCTGGGCTGAACTGGGCAGTAGCATAGTAGTCGAGATGACTGGACCTTCTTCTGGCAGTGGCTTTTCCTGGTGTAAGCCTCAGTGCCCCCAGCTTTGAAGTGGACATGGCAAAGGGAATACAATAAAATTTCACTTGCACCTGACTTTCCATCTTGCCAGATACACCTAGCTGTGGTTCTGGATGGTGGCTCATTCCTAGCACACAGTTTGCCATGCAGGGCCACTCTGGATATGTATGACTGCTCTTCTTTCCACAGGAAGAAGTGCTACGGAAGAGTTTCCAGGACCTGGCCACTGAAGTTGCTCCCCTGTACAAACGGCTGGCACCTCAGGCCTATCAGAACCAGGTACTGGGGCCTGCCTTTCTCTGCCCACAAACCGTCCACATCTCTCCCCACCCTGGGCTCCCTAAAGTTGGGAAGTAGGAGTGGGCTCCTTTGTGCTCGTAAAGAGCCCAGCCCAGAAGGAAAGAGGTGATACAGTTCTTTGATAAATCCTTTTTATATCAAGCTAACTGCATCACACACCATCTCTACAGAACCCCTAGTATTTGTCCCCTCTCCCAGTTGTCCTCTGTCACCTCTAGTCTGTTTTCCACTGCTGAGGCCTGAGCTCTTCCTAGAACCTGCACCTCCCAGATGAGGCAGGGGTGCTGGAGATAATCTGGGAGGGAACCATTTCTACAGGGATTGGAAAGTAACTTTTAGGAACTGGGGCCTCTCAGCCAGTCCAAGTTGAAGCCAGCTGTGATCCTTAACCTCCCTTCCTCTAAGACCTTGAGGTTCCTCAGGTGCAGAATCAGGATAACTCACCTCTGGGTCCCATGGGCAGCTCATTCTCCTTGACATTCACACAGGTTACCAATGAGGAAATAGCGATCGACTGCCGCCTGGGGCTGAAGGAAGGGCGGCCCTTCTCGGGGGTCACAGCCTGCATGGACTTCTGTGCCCACGCCCACAAGGACCAGCATAACCTCTACAATGGGTGTACTGTGGTAAGGAAGCCTGTGTTCTGCGACAACCCCACCTGCCTAGCTGTGGACTCTGCAGAAAGTAGGCCCAGGGTCAGGAGGGACAAGGAGGCAGTATTTTGAGAATTCTGGGTGATGTCTGGCCAGACTGCCTGCTCCTGCTGCTTCTCTGAGAAAACCCATAATGATAGGCTGGCGGGGTGTGTGGGCTCTGTGTCTTAGGTGGATACTGTAGGATGCCGTGCCTTGGACACCTGGAGTCCCTCATGGGGTTCCAGGTCTCTGTGGACCTTTGGGTATAATTCCAGACAATCCCTTGATTCATTAATTAAGCAATTGTTTATTGAGTGTTGACTGTGTTCCTGAGTACTGTCTAGATGGTGGGGAATAAAATGGACAGAGTCCCCCGATACTCTGGTAGCAGTAAAAGCTGAAGGAGAAGTAAATAGTGTGAGGGACAAAGGGACGGGAGACACTTGAGCAACTGGGAGTATACTGGTGCCACTTAATGAGAAGTAGAGTAAGAGGGGAAGACCAGGTTTGGGGTAGAAAATCAAAAATTTGTTTTGAGATATCTACTAGATGCACAGAAGAAGCAGTTAGAGGAGAGGGCCTGGTGCTGGCAGAGCTCTGAGGCCGAATGGCTCTCCAGGGGCATATTTGTGGATGAAGAAGGGAAGAGGCTCAGGTGGGGAATCCCCCTCAAAGAGATGGCACCAGTGCTGTGCTATGCTCTTTAGCTAGGTCCTGTGCAGGCAGGGCTCCTGGGCGGCTGTGGAAGAGGCAAGGGAGCTCCCAGATTCTGACTATACTTCTTGGCCATGTGAAGTAGCCCCATCTCAGGATTTCATTCCTCCACTATGTCTCCTGTCTCTGTGCCTCAGATTGATAAGCAAGATGGGGCAGGCACCTGTCTACACCCTAGTGTGAGGGTTTCTAGTTAATCTCTCCATCCTCTTCTGTGACTTGCTATTCCTAACTCAGGGATAACTCAGATTTTATATCAGTGTAGATGGCTTTACGTCCACGCTTGCTGAGGCTGTGGGTATGGCTCTGCTGTCACTTATTTCACCAGCCCCTATGGATGGACTGTAGGTACTTTCAGAGTTTCTCATCTATAAGCTACAAGGAGGATCCAGCCTCACGCAGCTTTGTGCAGCTATGTGGTAGTCTCTTTGAGGTCCCCAGGGAGGAACGTTTACTTGTAGAGGCTTGGAGAGCATCTGTTCTGCCTACTGGCAGCATTGGACTTTATCAGTCTTTTAGTCTTTGCCTCCCCCAGTGGCCAACATGCAGTCTCACTTTGATTTGTGTCTTTTCTACTGAAGAGGTTGAACATCTTTCTCTATTTTTCTTGCCCATTTCAGCTTTGTGCATATTCCACTTATGTCCTTTACTACTTATTTTTAAAATCAGGATTGCCATTCGTTTGTCATTTGTTAGGTGTCTTTTATGTGCTAGGACAGAAACTTTGCTTCTATCTCTGTCTCATCCTTCATTTTACCTTCTTCCTGTTTATAACATTGGATCAAGCTAGAGTTTGAAGCCAAAGGAGAAAGTCAGAATGAAAGGATTTATAAAACTGACCCTGAAAAGTGTAATGTTTCTGTTCAATAAATAAAACTGAAATAAAATGAAATGATACAAAAATGAAAAGGCAAATATAAAATGGATAACTGGAATTATCTTTGAGTTAAAAAAAGTAGGACCTCCCAGGTACAGTCAAGCTTGATGGTCATCCCAGTATCTTGGGAGGCTGAGGTACAGGAGGATCTCAAGTTTGAGGCCAGCCTCAGCAGCTTTGTGAGATCCTCAGCAATTAGCAAGACCCTGTCTCAAAATTTAAAAATAGGGTATAGCTCAGAGGTAGAGCTGTGTTCAAAAAATAAAAGTAGGTCCTAGAACAGCAGGGATATATAACATGAGCTCATTTGTGTCGAAGTGTCTAACTGCACATGTGCACACTCATTCAGCTGTCTGAGCAGTCATCAGAATGCCTACAATGACCAACAGTGCACAGAGCTCAACTGCAGTAGCATTTGTGATAAAGGAATGATAACATGAACATACAGAGATGACTATATGGGGCTGCAGCTGTACTTCAGTGGTAGAGCACTTGCCTAGCATATGTGAGGCACTGAGTTCAATCCTTAGCACCACATAAAAATAAATAAATCAAGGTATTATGTTCATCTATAACTAAAAAATACATATTTTTTAAAAAGAAGACTGTATGAAACAATGAATAATATAGAATAAAATTTGGCAAAAGGTATAAGATGCACAAAAGAAGGAAAACAATTCTACAGAGTTGTACAACTTTATTTTAATCGGGTATCATGAGACACATGAGGCCTGGGGTTGTAGCTCAGTGGCAGAGAACTTGCCTCCTGCACGTGTGATGCACTTGGTTTGATCATTAGCACAACATAAAAATAAACAAAATATAGGCATGAAAAAAGAGACACATGAAGTGACTGTCATCAAGGAAGAAATTCATACAGATCCCTAGAGTCAGAAGACATGGCATACCATGGGGTAGAGGTAGTACCAGGATAGTGGGGAGCTGGGGGAAATTTAGCCAGAGCCTTTATTGTGGTTTCCACAGGAAGGAATAGCAAGGCAGGGGTAGGTATGTGGAGTCTGTTCGGGTTTGGATAATTTCAGCAGGCTTTGGACTATGCAGGTGGTCCATGGTTGCTTGGGACCTGGCCGTAGGGCGATTTAGAGTGGAGAATGTTGGCTTGCTATGTGAGCTTGATGAAGGAGGTGGTTGGGGGATGTGGGCTCTGAATTGTTTGGTTCTGTATCAAAGGCTTATTCTCAGGGAGTCATGTGCTATCTCCGGGAATTAGCTAGCTCTGGGAGGGGCCAGATCTCCAGGGTCAAGGCCTCAAATACCAGCATCAAGAATACAAAAAATAAGAAAATACAAAAGGAGAGAGTAAACTGGGGGGGCGGGGGAGGGAAATAAGCCTCATTGGGAAATGTAAACCAACAATAAGATACATTTTAATGAACAAAATGTTTTTAAAGAGAGCAAAGACGAAATTATCAGCAAAAATGTGAAAAAGAATTGAAACTCACATTCTGTTAGTGTGAGTAAAACAATAATTTTGGAGGGCATTTTGGCTGCATGTGGTTGGTGTGCTTCACGGCATTTATTCTAAGGAATTAAGTTTTTTGAAAAATACTAAAAGGAGATTTTGAAAAAAAATTGTTATGGTAGGAAAAAATTAGAAACAAGTTGAAATGTTTGATAATGAGGGATTAGTTAAGTAACATTGGTACCATAGTCATATGTACCATGTATGATATAAATCATACAGGGATGAATATTTAATGCATAATATTCATACTGTGTTAAGAAAGGGACTTATTAAAATATGTAGTATATCCCTATTTAATTATCAAAAAGTAATTATGTGTATGTGTATGCACAAATGACCCAAGTGTTTGCAATGATTGTTTCTGGGTAGTGAGATTATGGAGATAGTTTTTATTTCCTTGGGTTTTTTTTTTTTTTTCCTCATCTAATTTTGTATAACCAATACATAGTTTTTAACAAAAAGGAGAAGTGTCTCAAGAGCAAAAGGAACTTGAATGTTCAAGACAGGGGCTGGAAGGTCTAGGCTCAGCCAAGTGCAGTGGCAGCAATGCTGGGCACAGGGCAGAGCAGGTTTCCTGTTCTTGGCAGCCCCTTGCCAGCACTGATCCTGTGCCACATCAGGGGCATGTGAGGTAACATGAACAGATCCGTTTTGAAAGCTGTGGTGCAGGCTTATAATGTTGGCAGTACTGGTACTGTATGGACCAAGATGCTTTTTAGAAACTCTGGGAAGCAGCAGAGAGTGGTAGGGCTGGGTGGGTGGGTGGCATTTGGATTGCATGGGGATGCTTACACATCCCCCTGGAGTCTGAGGAAAGGTCATCTGGGGATTTAGACCCTCCCTGGCACTTGGTTCCCAACCCCATGTCTTTCTCTCCCCGTGTGGGTCAGGTCTGTACCCTGACCAAGGAAGACAATCGCTGTGTGGGCCAGATTCCCGAGGACGAGCAGCTGCACGTGCTCCCCCTGTACAAGATGGCCAGCACAGATGAGTTTGGCAGTGAGGAGAACCAGAATGCCAAGGTGGGCAGCGGGGCCATCCAGGTGCTCACTGCCTTCCCCCGCGAGGTCCGGCGCCTCCCTGAGCCTGCCAAGTCTTGCCGCCAACGGCAGCTGGAAGCCAGGAGGGCAGCAGCTGAAAAGAAGAAGATTCAGAAGGAGAAGCTGAGCACCCCCGAGAAGATCAAGCAGGAGGCCCTGGAGCTGGCTGGGGTTCCCACTGACACAGGTGTGTGGAGAGGGCACTGTCAGGGCTGGCCTGGGCCCCTTCCTAGAGGGCCTCACCCTCCACCCCCATTCCTGCATCATGCTATCAACCAGACAGAGAGTCTTGGGGCCTCTGCTTAGTTGGGTCAGTAGCAAAGTTACCTGAGAGGAGGCTCCTGGGGAGGGAAATGCAGAGAGGGCTGGTTATCTCCAGGGAACAGCTTGGTGGATGGGAGCATTTGGCTTCTCTCGCATGCTCACACATCCCCCTGGAGTCTGAGGAAAGGTGCATTGCCCTAGGGCTTGTGGGCATGCTACTGCAGGGGGTTGTGGGCACTTGGGTTCTTGTGTCTGGCGACCCTGATCCAGCATTGGAAGTGGTGATTTGATGAAGACTCAGGGAGTTCACTGGGGTAGAATGAGGACTGCAAGCCACCTCCTGGAACCCACAGTGGGGCTGGGGCCTGTGCTCAGGGACATCCAGGTCCTGAATTGGGTAAGTCTCAGAATCTCACCTGTCCTGTCTTTCCCACCTGAAACAGGACTCAGGAAAGGAGGGAGACCCCTTCCCCTGTCCTCCCCCCCGGCCTTGCCAGGCTGCGGTGTTCTTGGCTCCTTCCCACCTTGCCCTCTGTTCTCCCCAGGCCTTTCTCTGAAGGGTGGATTATCCCAGCAAAGCCTAAAGCCCTCCCTCAAGGTGGAGCCACAGAACCACTTCAGCTCCTTCAAGTACAGCGGCAACTCTGTGGTGGAGAGCTACTCGGTGCTGGGCAACTGCCGGCCCTCCGACCCCTACAGCATGAACAGCGTGTACTCCTACCACTCCTACTATGCACAGCCCAGCCTGACCTCCGTCAACGGGTTCCACTCCAAGTACGCTCTTCCCTCATTCAGTTACTATGGCTTTCCACCCAGCAACCCCGTCTTCCCCTCCCAGTTCCTGGGTCCTGGCACCTGGGGGCACAGTGGCAGCAGCAGCAGTTTTGAGAAGAAGCCAGATCTCCATGCTCTGCACAACAGCCTGAGCCCAGCCTACGGTGGTGCTGAGTTTGCCGAGCTACCTGGCCAGGCTGTTCCCACAGACACCCACCACCCCACTCCTCACCACCAGCAGTCTACTTACCCAGGCCCCAAGGAGTATCTGCTTCCCAAGGCTCCCCAGCTCCACCCAGCATCCAGGGACGCTTCTCCCTTTGCTCAGAGCTCCAACTGCTATAACAGATCCATCAAGCAAGAGCCGGTAGACCCACTGGCTCAGGCCGAATCTGTAACCAGGGATCCTGGTAAGCTGGGCAAAACACCTTTGCCTGAGGCATCTCAGAATGGGGGACCCAATCACCTATGGGGACAATACTCAGGAGGCTCAACCATGTCTCCCAAGAGGACTAACAGTGTGGGTGGCAGCTGGGGCGTGTTCCCTCCAGGGGAGAGTCCTGCCGTTGTCCCCGACAAGCTTAGTTCTTTTGGGACCAGCTGCCTGACACCTTCGCACTTCCCAGATGGCCAGTGGGGGCTGTTTGCTAGCGATGGGCAGCAGTCGGCTCCGCATCCTGGAGGACGGCTGCGAGGCAAACCGTGGAGTCCTTGTAAGTTTGGGAATAACACCTCAGCCTTGACTGGACCTGGCCTGACTGAGAAGCCATGGGGGGTGGGGACAGGTGATTTCAACTCTGCCCTGAAAGGTGGTGCCGGGTTCCAAGACAAGTTGTGGAACCCCATGAAAGGGGAGGAGGGAAGGATCCCCACCCCCGGGGCGAGCCAGCTGGACAAAGCCTGGCAGGCCTTTGGCATGCCTCTGGGCTCCAGTGATAAGCTGTTTGGGGCCCTGAAGTCGGAGGAGAAGCTATGGGACCCCTTCAGCCTGGAGGAAGGAACAGCTGAGGAGCCCCCCAGCAAGGGAGCTGTGAAGGAGGAGAAGGGTGGTGCTGGCGTGGAGGAGGAAGAGGAGGAAGAGCTGTGGTCAGACAGCGAACACAACTTCCTAGACGAGAACATCGGCGGCGTGGCCGTGGCCCCCGCCCATGGCTCCATCCTCATCGAGTGTGCCCGGCGGGAGCTGCATGCCACCACACCACTCAAGAAGCCCAACCGCTGCCACCCCACCCGCATCTCGCTGGTCTTCTACCAGCACAAGAACCTCAACCAGCCCAACCACGGGCTGGCCCTCTGGGAAGCCAAGATGAAGCAGCTGGCGGAGCGGGCGCGGGCCCGGCAGGAGGAGGCCGCCCGACTGGGCCTGGGCCAGCAGGAGGCCAAGCTCTATGGCAAGAAGCGCAAGTGGGGGGGTGCCATGGTCCCTGAGCCCCAGCACAAGGAGAAGAAGGGGGCTGTCCCCACCCGGCAGGCACTGGCCGTGCCCACAGACTCAGCGGTCACCGTGTCCTCTTATGCCTACACGAAGGTCACTGGCCCCTACAGCCGCTGGATCTAGGTGCCAGGGAGCCAGCGTACCTCAGCGTCGGGCCCGGCCCGAGCTGCCTCTGGTGCTTTTGCCCTCACACCGGGGGCGGGTTGGGGGTGCAGAAGTCTTTCTATCTATACATACATATATGGATATGCCTATCATATATATGTATTTATGGTCCAAACCTCAGAACTGACCCGCCCCTCCCTCTCCCCCCACGTCCCCAGCACTTTGAAGAAGAAACTACGGCTGTCGGGTGATTTTTTCCGTGATCTTAATATTTATATCTCCACGTTGTTTTATTTTTCCCCTTGTTTGGGGGGCTTTTATTTTGTTTTTAAAACTCTATCCTTGTATATCACAATAATGGAAAGAAAGTTTATAGTGTCCTTTCACAAAGGAGTAGTTTTAAATTCCATTTAAAATGTGTATTTATTGGATTTTTTTAAAGCGACAATAGTAATGGTAATGGAGGGCAGGAAAGGCCCACAGTGCTCGCTCCTGCCCGGCGAGCCCGGCCTCTTGGGAGCTGACAGGTTCTCAGTCATCTGCCCCTTGTGAGCCAAGTGCAGCGTGTAGCCCCCCAGTTCATTCATCCCTCCCCACGGGCAGGGAGCCCTTGGGACAGCCCCGTCCTCTCTGGCAGGATGGGGAAAGCTGTAGAAAACCATCTGGGGCCCCTTTCCAGTTGGCGGCAGGGCAGGGGCACCCCAGGCCCAGCCCCAGAGACCCTGGTGTCAATTTTCCCAGAAACCAGGATGGAAGTAGACAGCTTCAAGCTTGCTAGTCTCCACACTGAATCCTGTCTGTCCGTTATTTACCAAGTCATCATGTCATGGTTTGCTAGGCAGCACCTCATGCTGGAGCTGGAGTTGAGAGGCTCCCAGGAGTCCTCTCCACCACTTGATAAGCCAATGAATACTGGGCTGAAGGAATTTGTCTTAGTGGCAGTTTTTCAGAATCGCCCCAAAGTCTATGCTGATGCTGCAAAAGGGCTACTGTTCTAAAAACAAGTTGAATCCAAGCAGTGGAGAGCCAGCATGGCTCTGCGCATGGTGCTGGGCTGTGTGGAACCAGGTGCTCTAGTATTGTGCTGGAACTTTCTTGACTCTTGGGCAGGTTGTGTCCTATGGGAGCTCAGCAAACCAGTGTAACAGCAGTTACCACATCTGTCCTTACTCTTGGATCTCCACATTGGACAATGGTGCATGCCCCAGTCTACCCCCTCTCCATGCTCTGCGGGGGTGAGGCCTCCACTTAATTTTAAAGTGCAAGAGTCAAACATTTTCAACAGGTTGCTATGATTTTCCTCCCTCATTGGTGCCAGTTCTTCATTTTCTCCATTTTCTTTTTTTCCTTCCTCCTCTCTCTACCCCCTTGTAACACACCCGTTCTAAAATTCTGGTGCATTTGTTCAGTTCTTTGAAATGAGAATGTGGTGCTTAATTTTAGTGACATTGTTAAGAGAGGTTGGGCCTGACAGGTGGAAGTAGCCCTCGTCTATGGCAAGTCACACTTGTTGGAGTGTTCGTTTTTCCTGTGGTATTAGCAGAAATGATCTCAAGCTACCCACATGGATGTGTGTGGCAAGTGAAGGGTTTCGTCAGGACATGGTCAGGGGTAGGGGGATGTGGCCACATGGTGAATGACAGCCAAGCCCTGAAATAAACATCAGATATTATTAAGCAGTTTTATTCAGATGTAGGTCTTCATAAGTCAAGTTTAACAATCAGATGACAATGCGAAAGGCAAGCTCCTGAGCTTCCAGGTGCCTTGTGGAAGAGCTGAGAACCGACCCGCCAGGTGTTCACTGTAGCCCTTGGGAAGCACCGGTGGAGAGTCGCTGTGAGACGTCCTGAGCATTTGTGTGGTCTGGTTTTAATTGTAAATAGTGAAAGATTTTTTTAAGCACTTTTGCCTAGATTTAAACAGCAACTTGAAAAAAAAAAAAAGTACGTTTTAACATGTAATTGTGGGAGAAATTGTAAATAGTAGCTGAATATTTAACGTGCTTTGTCTATCCTCCACTTTTACCATATTCTGTAAAGTTGCATTTATTTTACAGGACAAAAATGAAATATTATTGCTTTTGAAATAAATACCCAAGAGCTTATCAGGATTTAGAATTATTCAGAACTCAGATTTATAGGAAAACCTCTGACCTTCAGTTTGACAAGCTAAAGGAAGCAGAGTCTTTAATGAGCATGCTAATTTTCTAGTTTTGAGGAAAAGTTGGGTCCTTTAAATGCTATTTTGCTTATCGCATCAGTACTTTTATGCAGGTCTCATTTGACTCCGTGCTTAGGTAGATGCGGGGGTGCCTTGAAAACTTCATTTTAAATGATCTTAAGCAAGAAATATGATATTTTACGAAACATTTGGAGAATGTGACCGTCTGTATGACCCGTGGAAGCCCCAGGTTGGCTGTTGGTTTGGAAGGTACCGAGTGTAACCCAGGTGATTTCTGATACTTGGCATGTGTGGATCTCTCTGATGTATGTTAAATATACTCTTCCCCTCGTCACCCTTTGGTAGCAAAGCCATTAGATGAAAGGAGAAAACAATACAAGCTAAAAGCATGTGACGTCTGTCCCCAGCCCACACAGCCTTGGGTCATAAGCCTCCTGGCTAGGAGCTGAGAGGCTGGCAAGAGGCAGTCTCCGTGGGACGCTCCCATTGCCCTCCAAGCGTGTTCTGAGAGTTAGGTGGTGCTGTTGCCGCGCTCAAGCCCATTGCTGATCTTTACACACTACATGTATAACCTACCTCAAATCTCAGTCATTGAAATTAGCATGCTTTAGACATATATTTTAAAAGTAACTATGCACAGCTCTTTATCCCCCCTTGCTGCTGAAGGCTTCTTAAAGAGAAAAATCAAATTTTTATTTTTTACTGGCACTATCATTTTTTTAAGTCCTAAAGATGATTGACATTTTTATCATGAGAAGAAAAATTAAAGCCATTGCAACTAAAGAACCTAACAGCATGACCAAGTTTTAAGAATGATAATATAGCAACAGAAAATGATGGAGTCTTACTGTCATCTCCCCAGTGTGCCCCGTCCATGGACACCATCCACATGCAGCGCAAATGTTCGGTTCCTTTTTTTTGCTTTGATGCATTTTTCCCTTCCTGTTGCATGCAAGGGAAGTACTTGCAAAGTTCTATGCTAAGAGATTTTTTTTTTTTAAAGAAAAATCACTTTGCAGCAGGTTCTTATAAAATAACTGGTGCTAGCTCAAGAAATCATCGTCTTGCCATTGGCAAGCTTGATTAAAGGTGTTGCGTGGATTTGGGGGGTTTTGTTTTGGGTCTGGCTTTTAGCAGGTCCTAAGTTCCCCATACCCCCAGCTTCCTGGGTGCTGCTTTGCCTTCTTGCTGAGCTGACGATGGTGTGCATGGAAAGGGATGCTACCTGTCCCCTCTAGCCCTTCCACCTGCCTCTTTTGAAAACAGTAGTTTGCAGAGCAAGGGATTTTTAAAGTGCTAATGCAAGGAAAGAAGTAGCAGAGCTTAATTGCTTTGTATCAGACAGCAGCAGATGTGTGAGGATAGTTGATGATGAGTAGACGTGACCTGGCTTCACTGAGAGATACCCAGCCAGACTTTCCTCTTGAAGTTTAATCACCATGAGATCGCAAACCAAGGCAAAGCTGGTGGAAAACTCTGATATATCCCTGACGTGCCTCAACCAATATCTCTTTTCCTTTTGTTACTGAAGTGTGTTTTATGGACTAGGAAGCATTTTTATGAATTGAAATAGACTAAATAAAATGGTGCTATGGTGTTTTAATGTGACTGTCCCTGATCCTGTCTTGCTGAGGTGCTATCAACGTTCTGAAACCACAACCAACCAAAAATAAGGTGGGCTCCAGTCTCTCTCGGCTTTTTCCCTCCCCCTCCTCGTTTGGTGCTGTCTTCTTAGACCTCTGTTTACCATGCTGTAATCTGCTCTGAGCAGATTTTGTGTTTTGTTTTATGGTTCTTCCCTTGGTGGCCAAACTAACCCAAGGTGAGAAAGCAGCTCGCTCCCTTGCTGAGGGTGGTGATGCTCAGCTGGTGCTTTGGTTTCATGCCTGTCTTCTCAGGCCTGATGAGGAAGAACATGGGGAGGGCTTGGGAGTGATACGTTTGAGGAAAGGGAGTCAGATACTCCTGCCTCTCCCAGCATGGCAGGCGTCCTCAGAGCCAGGACCGCACGTTTTCCTCCTATGGCCCAGGGTGCTAAGCAGATTTCCTGGGAGTCTCGAAGGGGCACACTGAGGGGTCCAGAGGGAGCTCCTTCCTCTTCTGATACCAGCTGGGGCCACAGTAGACAAGGAGTTCTTTCCTTTGCTCTTCTCAGTCTGCCCCAGCGTGGCTTCTGTTGCCGTCATGTTCAGACTACAGGCAGGAGCTTTCTTTGTCCCTCAATGCCACTGAGGCTGCTTTTTAGTTGGTGCTAAATTTCTCCTTGGGTCCACAGAAGTTGATATTTTAGAACTCAACAGGAAGCTCCATTTTGCATCATCCACTGTCACAATTTTTTTTTAAATACCTCAAAAACAGGACATCATGACAACTTCAGTAGATTCCATGAGGGTCTGAGACCTGCAAGTTGTCCATTTGATGATATGCTTGACCTTGAAGAATCTGGGGTCATTTTGTTTCTTCATTCTTTGGCAGTTAAGATGGCAGAACGCCTAAAGGAAGGAGCGTGGTCAGCTTTTTTTTGTTTCCTTTAAGTTTTGCTTTAGATTAAAATGTGAATCTCCTATGCCCATCTCATCATGCTTTCTCAGTCATCGTTGCTGTCATTTGAAATGACTCCTTCAAAACCTAGCTTCATTAGCCAACTGCCTCTGCTGTAGTACATGGCCAGCTTCATCATACCCTGGACCAAAATGACATCGAGGTGCATACCCCAGCATAGGTTATACAGTCCCGCGCACACACGTGCGTCGTTTTTTCCTGGAACATGGGGCCCTTCTGGTGTGCCCAGCCCTTCTGCAGAGCTGCCGGCAAGAGCGAAGCAATAGGCTTCTCCCCTGAGCAGAGACCTCAGCGCAGAAATGCCAGGTCTAAAGTTGAGTTTTGCCTAAGAATCAGTGAGCTATTTGGCCTACTTCCTCCTACGCTTCTATTCTGATATCAGGGATGCTTTTTGTAGTGGTATTGTTTGTGCTCTCCTCGTTTTGACTACCCACCCGTGGTTCAGGGGAACTCATCACTCTTCACATGGGGACTTAAAATACCAATTGGCTCATTTGAACATTACAAATTTCCTCCCTTCCAGTACCTTTCCTTTTTTCTTTTGAGGGGAAAAGGGGAGAAAAACAGGAGTGATGTCATTTCTTTTTCATGTATTAAAGAAACAAGGACAGGTCGTCTTGTGGCATATTATTAACACGTTAGACTTAATCTAGAGCCCTTGTAGCTTTCTGATGTGTTTTATTTCTTATCTCTTTGAATTCCTGTTTGGTTACTTGGCTTCCAATGGAGGTGAACTTAACAACCATACTTGAATATTCCGTCTTGACTTTGTAAACTGTGGCTACTTGAAATGAAGTTTATCTGGGGTTGATGGATGAATGGTAGATTTTTGCTATGTCTCAAGGCAATAGGATGTGTATTAAACTGTAGATATTCTTAGTACAGTAAATTTATGCTGATAATTTTATTTTGTATAATTTTTACCTTTTTGTTAATATTTTTTTCCTTCCACTTTATTGGTTTGCCTCCTGAGCTACCCCTCCTTACTCTCCCTTCTCCCCCAGTGTTTCAGTAAATTTAATTTAGGGTGCCTAGAAATTGCAAGTATGTATCCTTTTTTGATTTGTATTTTATTATAATTTACACAAACAACTGGGTTTGTGAACTGTATTACTCCTGGTATCTTTAAAATATTGTGGGTGTTTTAATAAATTTTATATTTATTTTTTGCACTCAAATTCATTGTGGATCCTTTCTTTCCTCCTTGAACCAGGATTTAATTTTGACCCTTATGGTACCCTGTAACCTCACCCTTTCAGCCTGTGTTGTAGATGCACAAATGAAGTCCTTGTTGCTCACAGGGACAAAGACTGTCCTTGTCCACTGTGCACCCAGATAAATAAAGCCATGTTCAAAGACTGCTGTTAAATCTGGATATGAGATGGCCTTTCCCACATCTATTTCTCCTATTTTCTTTCCCTTTGTCCCCCTTTCCCATCCAACTTGGCAATCTGTCCCCCCCACCCTCCATTAAAATTGTTACTGTCCAGAGTTAACATTTGCTAAGGATCATGGAATCTGACTTGGGTGTGAGTTTAATAGGGAGGGGCAAAGGTGGGACCCAAGATTCTGCTGTCCCTGGTGGGAGGAGGTTCCCCTAAAGGCCTGTGCCTGGAGCTACTCTCCTTATTTCACATTGCTGGTTCTGATGGTGGCTGTTCTTATAAAGGGGGAAGCCTGTACTGGGGAAGGAGGAGAGGGAAGGATAAATGGTGAGGAAAACCTCCCTTCTAGCTTCTCCTTCCTCCTGCTTGAAACAGCACTGTAATCAATCCGGTGTGTGAGAGAAGCACCCAGCCATCCACAAAACTTCCCACAACATGAAAGCACATCTCTGAGGGCATCTGACTAAAAACTCCATAAGTCTAACTGGTGACTAGGTAGAACCTTCTAGAAAAGCCCCCTCACTCAGTATACCCAGTAATCCTCATATCTCTTTGTATTCTCACAAAAGCAGGAACACACTGTGTTTTGTAATCTGCTTTCCTACAAGTTGAGAGGGACCCTTCCCAGGTCCCAATCATGGTGAACATGTCTTTCAGAGCCCAAGGGGAGGGCGGGCAAGTCCTTCTTCAGCAGGGGCTGATTTCACTACTGGGTAGCTATAAATATGCGTATTTCTTCTTATACAAAGTCCATGTTAAATATAGAATTAGAAGACAAATTTTTAAAATTATCTGAAATTCCACACAAGAATACCACATTGGTTGCAAACGTTTTCTAAGTACGTAAATATGATCATATGTGTGTGTATATGTATATTTTAAAGTGGAATACAGTAATACTATATCATTTTTTTCACTTAATATATATTCAAAAATTATATGGAGCTACACCTTTTCAAATATGGTTTGGATATGAGGTGTGCCCCCCCCACCCTGCCAAAGCTCCTGTGTCAATGCAGAAAGTCAGAGGGAAAAAATGATTATAGGAACTATGACCTAATCAGACTCTCCTGGTTTGAATGGACTTGCTGGGTGGTAACTGTAGGCAGGTGAGGCATTGCTGGAGGAAGTGGGTCACTGGGGCCTACCCCAGAGGGTGCATATTCCCATGGGAACCTTCCCTTCTCTGCTTCCTGCTGCATTGTCCTGAGCAGCTTCCCTCTACCATGATGTTCTGCCTCACCTTTAAAGCCCAGAGGGCTGAAGTCAGCCAACCATGGACTGGATCTCTGAAACTGAGCCAAAATGAATTTAACTTTCTTTATGGTGTCCTTGTTGGGTATTTTGGTCACAGTAACACTAAGATGACTAACACAAAACAGTCACCTAGTGTTTCATTGTATTGATACAGAAGCACTTAATCATCCCCAAGTTTTCAAGCTCTTTAATATCCCACCTGCTGCAAGTATCAATTATACTAAACCAAACCTGCTTCCAAGCCCACCCACTGAATTTCTTTCTCCCGTAGCAGCACCACAGTAAGTCCCCCTCCACTGCATGACTGCATCCTTCATTCTCCAACCCTCCTTGGAACAGTCCCAGATCCTATCCACCATGCCCCCATCTTGTCACCTAGAGCGTCTTTCTTCATATTGGACCTCCAGATATAAACGTCTTCATCCAGTTGGTCTCCTGTTGATCCAAGCCAAGCAGACACACCAAGGAGCCCCATGATTTGCTTATGGCATCTTTATAAATACAAACCAAGGCTTATTAATTTTTTAATCGGCTAAACCATCCAGGCTCTGGAGAGAAGTTGGCTCCCTCATTTCCCAATTGCATTATATAAGCTGAGCACTTCTGTCTCCCTATGCCGTTCACTTTGTCTAAAAAACAGGCTGATGATATGGCATAAAGTTGATATGAGGACCAAACAAAACTACAGAAGTAAAACTGCCAGGCATTAGGAGCATGGAAGGTAATAAAAGCCAGTGTCACTCTTTTTTTTTTTTAATTGATTTTTTAAAAAAATAAATGACAGCAGAATGCATTACAATTCTTATTACACATATACAACACAATTTTTCATATCTCTGGTTGTATATAAAGTATGTTGATACCAATTCATGTCTTATACATGTACTTTGGATAATGATGTCTATCACATTCCACCATCCTTGCTAACCCCCTGTCCCCTCCCTTCCCCTCCCCTCTCACCCCTCTGTCCTATCTAGAGTTCGTGTATTCCTCCCATGCTCCCCCTCCCTACCCCACTATGAATCAACCTCCTTATATCAGAGAAAACATTCGGCATTTGTTTTTTGGGGGGATTGGCTATCTTCACTTAGCATTGTCTTCTCCAATTTACCTACAAATGCCATGATTTTATTCTCTTATTGCTGAGTAAAATTTCGTTGTGTATATATGCCACATTTTTTTTTATCTATTCATCCACTGAAGGGCATCTAGGTTGCCTCCACAGTTTAGCTTTTGTGAATTGTGCTGCTATTCACACAATGTGGCTGTGTCCCTGTAGTATGCTTACTACAGTCTTTTGGGTATAGACCGAAGAGAGGGATAGCTGGGTCAAATGGTGGTTCCATTCCCAGACTTGCTGGTCTGAGATCAGTGGTATTTACAACTAATTGATCACAGCCAGCATCACTCTTGACGTATACAAAGCTTTCATTCACTGACCAAGATTAGTTTCTCGAATGCTTCACACAGCACTTGAAGCTTAGCCATCTCAAATGGACTCTCACCCATCCTCCCTATTTTGAGTTTTCACTTTGTCAGAGTGTTCATTGTCCCTGCCCAGATACACAGCACGGGCAACAACCTTATCAGAAGTTCTCCCACTGATGCTCTTACAGCCTTCTTAATCCTGAAGAGCTATTAGTCGTCATTATCCCTCCCACTGTACTCTGTAAATAATAGGCTTTCCCCATCCTGGAGGAGGAAAAAGGCCCTGGAAATATGTTCAACCCACATAGTCCAGGGCACACTCCTGTCAGAGCTGCAAGGACATCACAGAAGACAGACAAAGCTTTGTCAAACTCTGGATCCCTCCAAGCCCATCCTCTTTCCCACCCCCAGAAGTCTTGGCAACGCCTCCTTCCCTCCCCTACTGAGAAGCCCCACTGGCCTGAAGGACTTTGCCCAACTTCCTGTCCTCCACCTCAAGCCACCCTCTTGTATCCTCACTATCTTTTCTACACACTCCAACCCCTGCTGTTTGGTGCCCCCTCCACTGACTTACTCTAAATCTCTACTTTTGCTGCTCCTTGGGAACATGCTTTGCAGTTACTCCTTTTCTCCCCATCCCAGACTCTCAGGGCTGCCCAGGCAGGATGCTGCTATTCTTCAGGCTTACACTTTCCTGGGTCATCCTACCACTACCCAATCTCTGCAGGTTTCCACTTTAATATCACCCACTCACCCATCCCTGTTCCTGCATAAAGAGCCATTTTCCAGGCTCAGGAGCCTTGTCCTCATTGATCTCTGAAGTCTTGACTCTTGGTCCCCTGTCCATCAAGAAACATTCTGCTCCGAGGCTCCATGGCTGGTAACAACAGGACCCCAAAGTCTTCTACCCCTCTTCATGGGCCCCTTTGTGCCTTCATGTCCTTTAAATACTAATGTCCACAAGATAATTGATTTAATCTCCACAGCTACAGGCTTTCCCTCAGGAACCTTGTTCAGCTACCAGGTCTCAACTATGACGCCAATGCCAATGCTTTTCAAAACCATGTCTAGCCCTGGTCTCCCTTGAAGGTTTAGGCTACTGAGTAGCTCTAGGTGGCTCTTTGGCAGAGTCAAAATTTTAAATGCTGCATAACTAAAACTGACATCTCAATTCTGTCAACTTTCCCATTTTTCTCCTTGTCATATTCTGACACCCATCAAATCTGGATTCTACCACAAGAAGAATCTCTTGCTCATTTTTTTCTGCACCCTAAGACCTGTATGCCCAAGAGACACACATTGTCCTTGCTGTTGGGCCTCTACCCATAAGCAGAGCTTAGGGGATGGAAGTTTATGGGCAAGAGAGGCACAGATTGTAACAAGGTGGCTTTACAGGAAGAAACTGATGTTCTTTAGAGCATTCTCAACAGATATTGATATTGAAAGGATTGGATTCCAGTCCCTGTTTGATTTGCCTACCCAGCTTACCAAAGCCAATCTCTTTACACAGTCTTCCTGAAAAACAAATTGAACAATACCATTTCCCTGAAATACTGCTCAAAATTCCCCATGTGGTGCAGTTCTCAGGATAAGGTACCCATCTTAACTATGTCCAAGAGTCTCACAGGACCTGGCCCAGTTTGCATCTCCAGGACTGCATAGGCCTCTTGGTATCTTTGTCTAATGATCTCCTTGGTGCCTTCAAGTGGCCTCTCAGTATAAAGGGTTTCCAGGCTGAATATCTTTCCTGAAGGACCACCAAAAACTCACTCCTCTTAAATTCCATTAAAAGATTGACTTAAACTCTGAAAGTACTCCAAATAAAGAAAAGTATCAATAAGAACAAAAAAGATTAGCAAGATTCTACTCAAGAAAACATGAATAAACAGGAAACAAAATGAATCTAAAGCCAAATTAAAAGTTTTATGGCACAAAGAACAACAAACATTAAGAATTCAAAGATTGGGACTGAGGTTGTGTCTCAGTGGTAGAATACTCACCTAGCACACTTGAGGCTCTGGGTTCGATCCTCAGCACCACATAAAAATGAAATATATTGTGTCCACCAACAACTAAAAACAAAATTAAAAAAAGAATTCAAA